TTAATGGGTAAAAAATGTCATTATATATCAACATATCTTTCCAATGTAAATTTCCTCAAACCACCTGTAGTTATTGGATAGGTGAATAACACTTACATTCTTGTAATAAAAATTATAATTATAGTTTTATCCGTTTATACAATAAACTATTAGCGAGGTTGCGGCCGAAGTTTTCATATCTAAAACGTGAACGTCGAACGTCGAACGTCGAACGTCAAACGTCGAACGTCGAACGTCAAACGTGAACGTCGAACGTCGAACGTAAACGCCGAACGTCGAGAGCCGCTATGACGCTCGACGTTCACGTTCGACGTTCACGTTTGACGTTCGACGTTCACGTTTTAGATATGAAAACTTCGGCCGCAACCTNTAAAAGTATCGGATGGATGAAGAGCTAGAATTGTATTATACTTTCTCAGAGCATAGATTTGGATCATATGATCTTCATCTCCATCTTCTATCTCTCCAGGTTGTTAATCTCTTCTATAAAAAAAAAAACATTGCAAAGGAGAAAATCATCAGCATTTTTTATTGTCGACGAAATGGAGATACAAAAAAATTGCAAGAATCTTTTTCTTTCATAATTTAGCGATAAAGAAGTAGACCCTGTGTTTTTTTTTTCAATTGCCTTTTTATAATCCAAAATCGTTCTTAACTGATAAAGCTAACGATAGAAAATGTTCAACTGTATCATTGTTTTTTGATGTTATCATCACTAAACTTTCCACATAAAATCTTCGCTAAATTTTGATATAAAACGAAAGCCAAAGAATCAAAATTAACTTTTTCCAATTAATAATTCGGACCATCAGTAGTTGAGTGAATAAAACCACTGGCATTGGTAATTGGTAGCGGGTTAGCGCCCCAGCAACGAGCTTGCCATGCGAAGTTTACTGAAATTCACACGTCTAACACCTAAATAAGGCAAATTTCTCATAAAGTCTTTCCGTGAAGCATTTCTTTGGCAGGTCGCCTATGTTTTGCTTCACCATACTCCATCAAACGTGAATTTTTCGAGGAATGATCCAACCGGATATGTTGGCCCTTGTCCCTCACCACCCGGTGAGTCTGGCCGAATCCATAATGGGCTTGCTAAATGAGGCCTTCTTAGTGCCCACGGGCGGAAAGAGGAGAAGGAACCAAGATTAGTCACCCACCACGAGTGAAAGACGGAGTTTCAGTCTCACTAATGGTGACTCTGAACATTGTTCTCGAGTTGATTTTCAACATACGAAGGTTATCCAAAAAATTAAAATAAGATAGTAATTTACAATCATATTTTGGCAATATTATCTTTAATGTTATTCATGTGTATTATAACTGTAAGTATAATTACAAGGCAACGGAAGATTCCGTATTAGCTGATGACTCTTCGTTCATTCACTTTCGGAATTTCATTACGATTATGACTTCCAAATAAATGAATTTTTTCTTTTGTCAAAGAGATAAGCGTGACAAATGACTTCCGCGCAGTATTTTTTCAAAATTGTGCATAATTACAAAGAATTACTGAATGTAATATTTGTATTGGACTGGATTTGTTTCCACCGAAAGCTGTTCATTTGAGAAAAGAAAAGCAATACAATTCATTTGAAGAAAGATAGGTTCATTGTAAAGTATAAAGAATTTTGACATATATTACTATTATCATTTCTGATACTTTTTATCAAAATAGCAATAATATATCGAAATTGCAAGTGGTGTGTAGTGGCATGTCAATATTATTTTCGAATTCTTTACATTTAGCTTTAAATCTATTTATCACCGAAAAAAATAACCAAGTTATTTTTCAAGAACGTTTAAATTCAAGATAATTCCGTCATCTTTTATACAGTTATGAATTATGAATTTGTCAGAAAAGTGATATAACATCTCGAGATATGTCATCGAATTCATCTTTTCATCATCTATAAGTAGGTGAAAGAGAAAAAAAAAATACAGGTTATATTTTCATTGCAGCACACATTAATGACTTCGAAAAATTACTTTCTATGTTTACATAGAAAGAGAGCATCATTTTACCACCGAACTTGTTATTGGAATTCGTCTTAAAACGAGCCGGTGATAAATTGAATTTATCTCAATGGAAATATAGTTTTAAACTACATAATACCAGTATTTAAATATGGACTTTCATTTAGTCATTATATAAGATTTATATTAGTCGTAAAGCGGGATCTTCTGTAGATACAATTTAATTACAGTAATTCGTTACTTTCTCGTCTTTAATATCTTCAGATGTAACGAATGTATTTAATTGTTTCTAATTAATTTTACACGAAAGAAATGTAGAATATTAATTAGAATATATTAAATAATCATAATAATTAAATTACGTTTTTTTTATAAAGTTAACGAAGATACAGACGACCCCCTATAACACCGTTTTATATGAATTCCATGTTGTACGAGTCACTTAGATTTTACAAATACGTGGCTGTAAACTGCTCATGTATTTGTAAAATCTAAGCGAGTCGTACAACATGGAATTCATATAAAACGGAAAAATCAACACTGTTATAGGGGGTCGACTGTACTAGTATCACTTTATAAAAGAATAAAGTTTAAAATATTACCTTCGGGCTTCCATTAATAGAGAGGTTGCGGCCAAAGTTTTCGTCTGTAAAACGTGAACGTCGAACGTCGAGTGCCACTATCTGCTAAAGCGGCGCTCGACTTTCGATGTTCACGTTTTACAAATGAATACTTCGGCTGCAACCTCTCTATTAAATCCTTAAGTGCGTCTGACATGAATGTTTTGTCACTACTATCATAGNTTAAAATCTCCATATCTTTAATTTTATATTGTTAATATTTGTTAAAAATAATTGCAATCTGATTCCTCTTCGTTATATCTCGAATATAAATAAACCACAAATTGAGGATTTTGATGGGAATAAAAACATACAAATTGTACTTCGTTAGGAATAAAAGATACTTTACAAACAATAGGTTTGCATCTTTTATTCCTATCGAAGTGAATTTATTATAAATACTTCGTATCTTCATCTTTGAAATACTGAAACCTTTGTTTTACTTCCATTCTCATTACAAAGAATAAGTCAATTTTCTTGGTATACTCACCACAGGATCAATTTTGTTTCATCCAGTTATTACTAAAAGTATCGGATGGATGAAGAGCTAGAATTGTATTATACTTTCTCAGAGCATAGATTTGGATCATATGATCTTCATCTCCATCTTCTATCTCTCCAGGTTGTTAATCTCTTCTATAAAAAAAAAAACATTGCAAAGGAGAAAATCATCAGCATTTTTTATTGTCGACGAAATGGAGATACAAAAAAATTGCAAGAATCTTTTTCTTTCATAATTTAGCGATAAAGAAGTAGACCCTGTGTTTTTTTTTTCAATTGCCTTTTTATAATCCAAAATCGTTCTTAACTGATAAAGCTAACGATAGAAAATGTTCAACTGTATCATTGTTTTTTGATGTTATCATCACTAAACTTTCCACATAAAATCTTCGCTAAATTTTGATATAAAACGAAAGCCAAAGAATCAAAATTAACTTTTTCCAATTAATAATTCGGACCATCAGTAGTTGAGTGAATAAAACCACTGGCATTGGTAATTGGTAGCGGGTTAGCGCCCCAGCAACGAGCTTGCCATGCGAAGTTTACTGAAATTCACACGTCTAACACCTAAATAAGGCAAATTTCTCATAAAGTCTTTCCGTGAAGCATTTCTTTGGCAGGTCGCCTATGTTTTGCTTCACCATACTCCATCAAACGTGAATTTTTCGAGGAATGATCCAACCGGATATGTTGGCCCTTGTCCCTCACCACCCGGTGAGTCTGGCCGAATCCATAATGGGCTTGCTAAATGAGGCCTTCTTAGTGCCCACGGGCGGAAAGAGGAGAAGGAACCAAGATTAGTCACCCACCACGAGTGAAAGACGGAGTTTCAGTCTCACTAATGGTGACTCTGAACATTGTTCTCGAGTTGATTTTCAACATACGAAGGTTATCCAAAAAATTAAAATAAGATAGTAATTTACAATCATATTTTGGCAATATTATCTTTAATGTTATTCATGTGTATTATAACTGTAAGTATAATTACAAGGCAACGGAAGATTCCGTATTAGCTGATGACTCTTCGTTCATTCACTTTCGGAATTTCATTACGATTATGACTTCCAAATAAATGAATTTTTTCTTTTGTCAAAGAGATAAGCGTGACAAATGACTTCCGCGCAGTATTTTTTCAAAATTGTGCATAATTACAAAGAATTACTGAATGTAATATTTGTATTGGACTGGATTTGTTTCCACCGAAAGCTGTTCATTTGAGAAAAGAAAAGCAATACAATTCATTTGAAGAAGTGAGCAATGGAGTTAGAGGTAAAAGGCCTGACTTGTTAACGGCAATTTTTTTCATTTAATTTTATATAATTTAAATTCGATTATTTGGTAAATAAATCTAATTAGTTGCGGCCGAAGTTTTCATTTGTAAAACGTAAACGTCAAACGTCGAGCGGCGCTCGACGTTCGACGTTCACGTTTTACAGATGAAAACTTCGGCCGCAACCTCTCTATTACTTCGATTATGAACACGATCGCCTACAGATGGCGTTAAAAAATATTTTTTATACGAGAATATATTTATAAAATCTTTAATAATTTTTTTTATCTTTTATATTTAGTTTTAGAATTTTTACGCACAAAACTTTTTAATTTCAAATTTAAAAACATTTTTTTCTGTTTTTTAAAATTTAAGAAAAGCTTTTATTTAAAAAAAAAATTATATTTTTATATTTTTAACGCCATCTACCGTAGATTACATATATAACCGAATGCGATGATCGTCCTCTAGTGGCCATTCGCCATTAGATTTTAAACATTTTTAATCAGTTAAGCAAAATTTATATTGTTGATATATTAATACTGAAAATGATCATAAATCGGATAAAATAATTAAATTTTGATTTAACAGGAATACAAATATAATTCATTATTATTTTTATGACGTCACGACAGGAAACATTTCTCCCGCCAAATCTGATTTAGTTCGGTGCTGGAGTTTAAAGACTCCCGGGAAAATGGTTTTACGTAACACTGGACGATACAGTGTTAATAAAGAAAATTCGTCTAAAGATCTTTTGGGATCCAGGTATGATTCATTCAAAGTAATTATTTACAGATAAATTATATTAAGGATTAAGAATATGCCTAATTTTGAATTTTAAACTAATTTTTAAATTTGTTTTTGTTTGAATTTCATGGGGGTTATATGGTTTTGTTACTTGGGGATGATAATCTTATATTATAACTAATGTAAAAATAAAAATGTGAATGTTTGGGTATAATTTTAAAATTTCACTATTATGTAAGAATAGTATAAGAATATAAATCATTACTTTTGTTTGTTTCAAAGCTATAATTCTTATGTATTTTCTTAGCATAATGTTGCCATTGAGAACAAATCACACAGGAACACTTTCAGTGGAAAAAGGTTGGTTTATTGGTAGAAATGGATATGCATTTCAGGTTTAATGCCCCTCTTCAATCCTGAGATTATAGTGACAGTTAAAACAACACGACTCATGAGAATACATAGTTGAAAAGCGGGAGGAAAATACAGTAATATCCCAAACTTACGTGATAGGTGAGACCGAACGATAACCGCGTAAGTCGGGGTATAATTTCGCAATTTGGGTAAAATCCAAGTCAGATGTATGTAAGCTAATAAATGTTCTCGTTAATCTTATCTCGTCTTTTGATTCGTTCACAGTTACAAGAAATCACCACATAGAGTCTCTCGAGTCACCGTAGATATAACAAACACAGAAATAAATAATGCAAAATAAATTGTAGCTATGTGTCGATTCCACGCGACACGTTCAAACATGTGAGATGAACAATAGTGTGGGGGGAGTGAGTAATCAAGAGTTGCGTGGCACTCAAACAAAAGACAAATTGACGAGATTTGAAAATCACGTAATTCTGGGTTCACATAAATCGAGGTATTATTGTATAGCTAAAATTCTTCTAGCTCCACCCTTATACACATTAGAACAGTAAAACAACATGTGCTGTAGGGTGCAAAATAATTCCTACGAGATGTACAGGAAAACATGAACTAGAAAGGAGAGGTTAAAAAGATGTGAGTATTCCCTGTATCGTACACTGAAATTCATGAGTTGTGTTGTTTTAATTGTCACTATAATCTCAGGACTGAAGAGGGGCGTTAAGCCCGAAATGCATATCAGTTCCTACCAATAAACCAACCTTTTTTCACTGAAAGTGTTCCTGTGTGATTTGTTCTCAATGGCAACATTATGCTAAGAAAATACATATAGTAAAGAGAACAGCAAGCAACCAAGATTTTCTATAATTCTTAATTCAGATATCTGTTGAACACTTGATAGAATCTTACAAATTTTGTATTTTTGATGCAAATAAGAAAATACAACCACATTATTAATGATATATTTATGTGCTGCTGTAGGATAAACCGTAGTTAAAATTAAATTGAATTCCAACAGATTAGAGTGAAAATTCTAATCTATATTCTTAATGTCGGGAATCAAGAAGAGAATGGAAATGTTGCCCGAAGGTGTTAAAGTTTTTTAAAAGTTTTAACCATGAAGCGAGATACTTAAATTGGATGTATTCTTGAAACTTTACATTTTTCCTTAAAAGTGTGATATTAACATTAAATTATTGTTGGTCTGAAGATGGCGTAGTTTTATCAACATTTATGATTTGATTTAAAAATGATCCTTTGTTATATCAAAAATATACATTTATTTTTGCTGTAAGTGTCAGAAGTTATTGAAACTACATTTCTTATATCTGTTTAGTAACAGAAATATAGTGAAGAACAATGGGAATAAGTATGTGTATTCCTTGTATGACATGGCTATTAGGTTATTCGTGTTATGTGAATTCGTGCTGTCTGAAACAAAGAACCAGTACAAAACATAGGGTTAGGTTCCAAAAGTTAACAAAAATAAACTATTCTTTTTGTAATTAAGAGAAATATGTTTGTTGAAGCATTTAATAATTTATTAACAGTCAGTAATTAACTAACAATCACAATCCAGAGTATTCCATGTTAATATTAATTTTGTTTTCTTTACTGTTTAACATACAAAATATTTATGGCAAAATGTTGTCTTCTGGACTTCCTTGTTGACCTTGGTCAAAATATTATGATATTTTCTACTTTTTTCATAAAATCTGATATTTTCACATGCTTGTGTTTGCTTGAGAGGTCTTTATAAATTTAATCTATATAGTAACTTTTCATTTGATCTATAAAAACAAACATGGTGACAGCTTTTTGACTTCATTTAGAGCATTATCACCAAAACAGTGACACTTGGTTTATGTGAAAGTTAGAATAGGAAGCTATGATAAGGAAGAAAAAAACTGTATGCTCAGTTTACATTAAGCAAAACAGACAAAAGGCACAAAACAGCATTGAAAGTTTCAATATTCTAAAATCCATTGGCAAATATGAGATAATATGCATGTTTGCTTGAATAAAAATTTGCATTTAAAAATTGTAATGTTTTGTACAGGGAATTTCTCCAATTCTTGAATAGTGTTGTAGGAATGCCATGTTGTACAAGGGATAACTGTAACTCACAAATATATCTTAGCATTAAAGTGAGTCTGCAAAGTGACAGATATAGGGTATACAGTAAAGTATCACTGTTTGGACAGTGCCATAGACTTGCATCGCTGGACTAAGTGGTGTTTTGGAATGAGCATGTTGTGAATGGTATCTGCACAGATTGCCATCTAATATCCTGTATACTGTAATCAATTTACATCCTGCTTGTAACTTTTTATAGTGTTGCAATGTCAAAGTTTGGTTGGCTGGATGATCGAGACAGTTAAGATTTCAGCTTACTGCTCTGGAAGGACTCGGGATCAGTGGAAGACCTAGAAGAATCCAATGGGGAGCTCAAAAATTAAAAATATTTGAATAATTAATAAATGCTGTTTTATTAACATACATAAGACAGTTGTATTTCACGTGGTCTAATTAAACATATTTGCCATCATAAATTTTTTAAAAACACCATTTTGAAGTTTGAACAAATAAATTTTAATTTCTTTGTCAGTGGTGAGAGCTTAGGCCATGTAGTTCCAGAATTGTTTCAAGACAGTCAAAAACCCCCAAGAACTTTTAATGGCCAGTTTGACTCTCATATGTTGAGACTCATCTCTCACCAGCTGGCTGTCCAGTTGTAGGTCTGTCAATCCACAATGGACTTGATAAAAGACCCTCTTAATATTTACAGGTTGGAAAAAGCCAAATGAAAAAGGGAAAAAAGGCCAAAAAAACACTACACAAGCAGGTATTGTAGCCACTAGTAACATTAATCCATGTTCACTTAGACAGTACCATAAAAAATATTCTTGATTAAGTCACTGCTGTGACATCATGTGTAGACAGCCTAGACACTAGTGATATTTGAAACAATCTAGTGTATGATGCTCATCTAAACTTGAAAACATGAAGTAAGTGTGGACAGCAAAGACACTACTCTGGGACATAAATGCCAGCATTGAATGTTGCTGTGTAGACTGGATTTTAGTGTATATATTTACTAATACTAAGATATATTTGAGCCATGTATTTACCTTTGTTTTTCACTATTATCACTATTCCAAAACTCACTACCTGAACCTATTTGAGCTGATTTTGTGTGTCACTGAACCTGTTCACCATTCATGAAAGATTCCTCGGATTGCTTGTCTGGATTTGATCCCATATTGCCAGAGTGGTACTCTAACATGTTAATTACTTCAGCCACCGACACTTCTGATAGACTACTAAGATTAAGTGTTGACTCAATTTTTGTACAGTTTGTTTACAACAAAGCACATTGCTGCAAACGTTAGAAAATAAAGTTTTGCTGCAATGCTGCCAACATTACCCTTTTGCTTGCTTGAGGATTTATTATTTTATGTTTGCTACTGAAATATGCAGTTTGATTTTTCAGTAGTGTTTTGTTATATATGTAGCATTAATTTTTGTTTTCTTCATTATAAAACATCATAAATTAGTAATGTACCCTGAAAAAATTTTGGAAAAACCAACACTGAAATTTTTTCTTTGAATGAAAAATATAAGTAATTTTAAATTTCTTCTCTATTTTATTTCATTTATATTTTATAACCATTAAATATATTTAAATTTAAAATATAAGACTACATTTTTTGTTTACAAAAATAATTATTTAGTAAAATTATTTTGCTAAAATTGATATAGATCTAAATGTATTAGATGGTGTATTTTTTATTGAATAATTTACAGTATATCCAACAAAGGTACCACATATAGAAGTGCAGAAACATTCAATTATCTTGTTTATGCCACATACTAATAGGCCATTAAACATTACATGAAATGCCCAGCTTCATTGGACAGATGCTGAAATATCTTTAAACATCTGCAGAAGTCAGTTTAGCATTTCAAGAAGTGACCAGAAAAACTAGACAGATTCTGAAATAAATGTTTTATTACAGGATGTGCTAGGCTTCAAGAGATATCTAGTCATTTCTTGAAATGGCAACATGTTTAACATGTTCAACATATGTAATAGTCACAAAAGTTTTAGAACCATTGTATTAGCATGATTAGTTGGGCTATATTTCATAATTAATAATTTAATCTTGCAAGAATTTTTATTGCCAATAGGACTTTTAGATGTAACTGTAATATTTGATCAATTTTATTTTATAGTAAAGACGATACATCCGAACGGAGATTGCAGCAATCATTGTTTAATGATGAAATTGATTTGAAATTTGGCTTTAAACGATATCAAGAATCGGCAGAAATAGTAGGATGGCTTGTCAACATGCATCCGGTATATTGTTTTAAATCTATTTATTGTTAAAATTTTAATAATTTTAAAAATATTTTATTGTTGTAACATTTATATATAACATGAAACAATAACAACTCTTTATACACTTTGAAAAAATTTAGTTTAATATGTAGCAAGTAATAATTGGGGAGTATAATAATGATGAATGTGAATGAGTATATTTCAAAAAACTGGGTAATTATTAATATACCACTCACCAAATAAACCATCACCAGTTCAGTTCATAACCAAACAGAAAAATTCTTTATACCCCAGGGTCATTTCCCTGATGTGTTAGATATATCACATTTGATGGTGCACTCGTCCTTCTTTGAATACGAAGGGATCACCTACATACAGATGAGGTGTGTGCCTATGGGTAGCCCAATATCAGGAACACTCTGTGAATTAGTGGTCAGAAAACACCTGAATACCATATTACCTAAATTTCAAGAGGACATAGCATTGTATGTCAGGTATATTGATGACATTGTCATAGTATGGAACAAAGTACCTAACTTTGACTTGGTACTTAAGTATTTTAACAATAACTCCTATGGCCTGTTGTTGAAAGTTGAACAAGAGAGTCATACGATGGTACATGGATATCACTGTCAAAATGGAGCATGGTTATCTTTCCACCTGTGTGTTTCGTAAGGAGTCATATACACCTCTGTTTATTCCTAACCATTCACATGACCCTTACTGTTACAAAGTCTCCGCTTTTTGATCTTTGGTAAAAAGGGGCATACACACATTGTTTGAAGCAAAATAAAAAGCAAAACGAATTGTCATGGATCAAGGCCCTTGCAACACAACATGGATATCCGTCCTCTTTGGTTAAGCATCTCATAAAACAATATATAAATAAGAGGGAGAGGACTGTTCCTCAAGACAAACGGATGAGGGTTATTACATACAACAAAACACTTTCTAATATATATAGAGAAATTGCAAGGACCACTAAAATAAACATAACATATCGACACTCTCCAAGTCTTCTCTCTCATTAGAAATGATAAAAACTGCATAGATGACTCATACTCTCCAGGGTTTATGCAGTTCCTCTTCAAGATGATCAAGTTAACCACTCATTAACATACATTGGAGCAACAGCAAGAGATCTCGCCATGAGGATGAAAGAACATGAATACTCCATAAGAAAAAAGATGACTACTACAGTGTTAACGACATATGTAAGTAATGAGGATTTGCACGTTGGACTACAGAACGTTAAATTGCTACACAGAGTATCGGATAAGGCACAACTCAAGTACCTCGAATTGCTTGAGATCTATCGGGCAATTAAAAGGGGAGTCGCTATTAACTTCAAGGAAATGGACATGCTTTCCACAGCGTGGCGCACATTTTTGATCTAGATCCCGACGACTGAAATGCACATTAAGGATAATTTAAATTTATTTGAATTATGAAATTGATCCGATTTTTTAAAAAATCATTCTATTCTAATAGCTGTTAGTTCAATATCATCAAGATCTGAGGATGTCTATTACACATAGACAAAAACGTTTGTAGCAAGAATTTTTCTGTTTGGTTATGAACTGGTGATGGTTTATTTAGTGAGTGGTATATTAATCTGAATGAATTTTTGTTGTAGTCTGATGATAAATTAAAGTCTATTGATTAAAATTTAAAGTGGATTAATTGAAATTTAATTGTCTAATATATCAAATATTTAATAACTAATGTAAGAAATTTTTCAACCATTGGAAATAGAACAGCTCATAAAGACAACCTTAATTTTCAATAATTCAGCATAGATTTTAATGAACTGACAAACATTTTCAGTTCATTACAATTTAGTTCAGTTCATGTCCAAACCATAAACATTATACTCTCTATTCTAGAATGTATAGGTATTCCATAACTTACTTCACAGAATCTAACTGATTTTAAACCTGATGAAGACCGAGAGTACGGTCGAAAACGTTTGTTTATTATTAAATTGATTACTACTGGACGTTTAAAGGTTTTGGAGTTTTAATTAATTAATACTTCACAGATTCAAAAATTGGAAGATTAAGTCATTTAAGTGTGTGTTCTACGTGAATTTATAAATCAAAAGTTGACAAAAATTTCAGATTTTAACTGATGTTAAAACTAATAAATGAATAGAAATTTCTGGATAAATTACCAGTACATGTAAACATCACTGCTGAACCTTTACTTCTAGTAAGATATATTTTAGAAATGAACATATGTTTTTCATCTTATCCAAGATCTGCCTCAGGTTCTTGGATCACTTGAGTTCCAATTATGGAATGCTGAGAATTCGAATGTTTTTTAAATACAAGTTATTTAATGGTTTTGGAATCAAGAACAAAGATTTGAAATAACATAATAAATTAATATAAACAAATATAGACAAAAGTCCTCCAATTTTTGTGTATTAATGTGGGACCACATCTACAGGGGAATAATATGCATTGTTTAAAGTTATGATTGGCAATGCTCCTCACATGCGTATCACCAAGTGAATGATATTGAGTTACTGTCTTTGAAATTAATACACTTCTCATCTGGTTAGCTTTGTATAACTCAAGGGTCTCCAGAGTCCTAATGTGGTTGGTCTGGAACAATTTTTTTATAAGTCTGGTGTTTTGTAGGTTGGCTTGCACCCCAGGGCCAGCAGCATAGGAGGACAAGGCAGTGGTGTGCCTTTTTTTGTTGATGTCATGTTAGTGTTTCATGACAGGGGTGTACAGTGTTCCAATCAGGGACCACAAGTTCCAGAGGGATTTGGTCTACATAGGGTTGACCAAACGTTCTGTACATAAAAGAATCATGGAACACAAGTACGACATCAACCAAAAAAGGCACACTGCCGCCTTGTCCGCCTACGTCACTGACCATGGGGTGCAGGCCAACCTACAAAACACCAGACTTATAAAATGTTTGTTCCAGACTGACCACATTAGGACTAAGGATACCCTTGAGTTATACAAAGCTAACCAGATGAGAAGTGTATTAATTTCAAGGACAGTAACTCGATATCATTCAATGCTCCTCACATGCGTATCGCATGCGAGGAGCATTGCCAACCATAGCTTTAAACAATGCATATTATTCCCCTGTAGATGTGATCCCACATTAATACACAAAAATTGGAGAACTTTTGTCTATACAGTCGACCCCCGTATAAGATCATTGATTATTCCGTTTTATATGAATTCCATGTTGTACAAGTCACTTAAATTTTACAAATACGTGAGCCGTTCACAGCCCGGTACACGTATTTGTAAAATCTAAGTGACTCGTACAACATGGAATTCATATAAAACGGAATAATCAATGATCTTATACGGGGGTCGACTGTATTTGTATATATTAATTTATTATGTTATTTTAAATCTTTTTTCTTGAATTGTTAAATAGCTTATATCTAAAAAACATTCGAATTCTCAGCATTCCATAATTGGAACTCAAGTGATCCAAGAACCTGGGCCGATCTTAGATAAGATCGAGAACATTTGTTTGTTTTTATAATATATCTTACCGGAAGTAAAGGTTTAGCAGTGATGTTTAATAAATTAAAATATAATTATTTTTTTGCCATCGTGCTTATGAATCTTCTGGATATTGTTGTTAGAAAAATTGCCAAGCTGCTGAAATGTTTTGCAATCTTTACAGTTAAGGATTTTCCCTTTTTTTGCTGCTTTAAATATCTCTAGAGTCACTAAGGCTCTGATCTGGTAATTGTGAAATGCATGCCGAATCAGTTTGGCTTGTTCTAAATTTTGCTTTTATTTCCAGTTCTAGAGTGTGGCTAGAGTGGTAACATGATTTGTTTTGATGTTGTACTTATGTACTTTCAATCTTAAATTTAGTGACCTGTTAGTGACAATATAGACATATTGAGAGCACCAGGAGTATACAGTATCTCTGCCGCAGATGAGAGATTTGAATGTAGTCTAGTATACATTGGATCCACTAACAGATCATTAAATTTAAGATTGAAAGTACGTAAGTACAACATCAAAAAGAATCATGTCACCACTCTAGCCATACTCTAGAACTAGAAGTGAAAGCAAATTTAGAAAAAGACAAACTGATTCAGTATGCCTTTCACAATTACCAGATCAGAGCCTTAGAGATATTTAAAACAGCCAAAAAAGGGAGAATCCTTAACTTTAAAGATTGCAAAACATTTCAGCAGCTTGGCAATTTTTCTAATAATAATGTCCAGAAGATTCATAAGCATGATGACCAAAAATTAATTATGATATTTTAGTTTTATTCATTTTAATATCGTTCAAAATCTGGAATTTTTGTCAACTTTTGATTTTATAAATTTATATAGAACATGCACTTAAATGACTTCACAAATTCAAAAACTGGGAGATTATGTTATGGAATGCCTATAAATTCTAAAATAGAAAGTATAATCTTTATGGTTTACATCTGAACTGAACTAAATTTTAATGGAATGAAAATTTTTGAAAGTTTATTAAAATTTATGCTGGATTATTGAAAATTAAGGTTTCCTTTATGAATTAATAAGTAACTATTATTTTTAACTTTAATTAATAAGAATAATTTTTTGTTCATGATACATTTAAAAAAATATTTCTCCATATAACTTTCTGACAGTGATGATTAAAAACTCAACTATAAACATTGCTTTTTTCCTAGACTGAAATCTTAGATGAAGACAGAAGATTAGTTAGTGCTGTAGATTATTATTTTGTTCAAGAAGATGGAAATCGCTTTAAAGTATCATTTCCTTTTAATCCTTATTTTTATATTGCTGTTAAAAATAATTGTGAACAGGAAGTTTCTTCCTTTCTCACTCGAAAATTTGCTGGAAGTCTTTATCGAGTTGAGATCATCCAAAAAGAAGATCTTGATTTGGTAAGTTTTACTTTTACTTTATTTTTTTCTTTTGTTATAAACTTATTGGATTAATTGGCTGAAAACTGAATCAATGCTAAATCTTTTAATAGCTTTTGATTTATTGTTTATGTAAATTTATAAGTATTAATGTGTTTTATATTGATACATATTTAACTTTGCATCTGAAGAAGAAGCTTTAAAAATAAACAAGACTTTAGTCTGTTAAAATTTATCGTGTTGCATTTGTTACTTCTAAATTATTATATTTTAAATATAATTATATTTAGACTTATTCTAAAATGTTTTTTTCTTGTTTCTACAGCCTAACCATCTAATTGGATTAAAAAAAACTTATTTAAAACTATCTTTTCTGACTGTGTCAGATTTAATAAAAGTTAGGAAAGAACTACTTCCGACGATTAAAAAAAACCGAGACAGAATGAAATCTAGATCCACCTATGTAGAAATGTTGAAGAAGTATTCATTAATTTTAAATCAATTTATTATTATATTTTAATGAATCTCTTCAATGATATATTTAATTAAAAAATTTATATTCCAGTAATATGTCATCCAATGATGAGAAAATTATTGTGGGTAGAGTTACTGAACAGATGGAGAATATCATAGACATTCGGTAATTGTAATTTTTAAATTTCATACGAATACCTGTAATGATATGATTTTTTTTTATTGCTAATTAATTAGTTAATCTATTTTTGATCATTTATGCTTTTACTTAAAATTGATAAGTTCCAGTATGGTAATTACAAACTCTTTTCTTTTTTGTATATCATTTGTCAATTGCTTACAGAAGTTGCATTCTGTAAGCAAATAGTTACATATTTTTATATAAGACTACTCATACATACCATTAAATGGAGAATTTGTAATTCCAGTATTATGTAAANTATAAACATTGCTTTTTTCCTAGACTGAAATCTTAGATGAAGACAGAAGATTAGTTAGTGCTGTAGATTATTATTTTGTTCAAGAAGATGGAAATCGCTTTAAAGTATCATTTCCTTTTAATCCTTATTTTTATATTGCTGTTAAAAATAATTGTGAACAGGAAGTTTCTTCCTTTCTCACTCGAAAATTTGCTGGAAGTCTTTATCGAGTTGAGATCATCCAAAAAGAAGATCTTGATTTGGTAAGTTTTACTTTTACTTTATTTTTTTCTTTTGTTATAAACTTATTGGATTAATTGGCTGAAAACTGAATCAATGCTAAATCTTTTAATAGCTTTTGATTTATTGTTTATGTAAATTTATAAGTATTAATGTGTTTTATATTGATACATATTTAACTTTGCATCTGAAGAAGAAGCTTTAAAAATAATTTCATTTAATGAAAAATAAACAAGACTTTTTAGTCTGATAAAATTTAGTGTATTGCATTTGTTATTTTTAAATTATTATATTTTAAATATAATTATATTTAGACTTATTCTAAAATGTTTTTTTCTTGTTTCTACAGCCTAACCATCTAATTGGATTAAAAAAAACTTATTTAAAACTATCTTTTCTGACTGTGTCAGATTTAATAAAAGTTAGGAAAGAACTACTTCCGACGATTAAAAAAAACCGAGACAGAATGAAATCTAGATCCACCTATGTAGAAATGTTGAAGAAGTATTCATTAATTTTAAATCAATTTATTATTATATTTTAATGAATCTCTTCAATGATATATTTAATTAAAAAATTTATATTCCAGTAATATGTCATCCAATGATGAGAAAATTATTGTGGGTAGAGTTACTGAACAGATGGAGAATATCATAGACATTCGGTAATTGTAATTTTTAAATTTCATACAAATACCTGTAATGATATGATTTTTTTTTATTGCTAATTAATTAGTTAATCTATTTTTGATCATTTATGCTTTTACTTAAAATTGATAAGTTCCAGTATGGTAATTACAAACTCTTTTCTTTTTTGTATATCATTTGTCAATTGCTTACAGAAGTTGCATTCTGTAAGCAAATAGTTACATATTTTTATATAAGACTACTCATACATACCATTAAATGGAGAATTTGTAATTCCAGTATTACATAAATTCTTTCAATGGCACAAGTTTATACTAATTCTTTGGAATTTCTGGGACTAAACATAAATAAATCTCTCATATGAACAATGGTTCCATCTGAAGTTCTTAGTCAACTACTTCTCTCTTTATCCAGCATTGATCCTCTCTCCATAAATTATAAAACTTGGCAAATAGAATGACATGATAATGGAGGTTTTCATACTCTGTTCTGTAGTTTCATTGACTCTGGGTTACAATAAACTAAGATATAGATCATACCTTTTCTTTCGGGAAAGCTATTTTATGAAAAACACTTCTTAATTCATTGGGTGTTGTACTTGAAATGGAAAAGCATTATATGAGTGCAAACTTTGACAGTCATTAAATTGATTTTGTTTTTTGCAGAATATTAATCATAAATATGTGCTCCCTAAGATTTAAAAAGTTATAGTTAGCACAATGTTGGTAAAACACTATGTGCATCCTCAACGTTATTAGAGATCTTATTTAAACATAAACTATTGCTATAATTAACTATTTTACGATTAACTTCATATTATTAAAATAATACTAATTTTAATTATTAGATTAGAATATAAGTAGCATTAAGCAATAATATAATTATAAAAACTAAATAATTATTAAAATATTTTTCAGTTTTGTGTTTTAATTTTTACTAAGAATATTAAATTAAACTGTTAAAATTTTAAAAAATTTTAGAGAATATGATGTTCCTTATCATATAAGAGTTTCCATTGACAAAAAAATCTTTGTTGGGCATTGGTATTCAGTGAGGTGTAAAGGAACTGAACCTCCAGAAATTGTTAGACGGGATGATTTATTACAGACTCCNTTTCTATAATTCTTAATTCAGATATCTGTTGAACACTTGATAGAATCTTACAAATTTTGTATTTTTGATGCAAATAAGAAAATACAACCACATTATTAATGATATATTTATGTGCTGCTGTAGGATAAACCGTAGTTAAAATTAAATTGAATTCCAACAGATTAGAGTGAAAATTCTAATCTATATTCTTAATGTCGGGAATCAAGAAGAGAATGGAAATGTTGCCCGAAGGTGTTAAAGTTTTTTAAAAGTTTTAACCATGAAGCGAGATACTTAAATTGGATGTATTCTTGAAACTTTACATTTTTCCTTAAAAGTGTGATATTAACATTAAATTATTGTTGGTCTGAAGATGGCGTAGTTTTATCAACATTTATGATTTGATTTAAAAATGATCCTTTGTTATATCAAAAATATACATTTATTTTTTCTGTAAGTGTCAGAAGTTATTGATACTACATTTCTTATATCTGTTTAATAACAGAAATATAATGAAGAACAATGGGAATAAGTATGTGTATTCCTTGTATGACATGGCTATTAGGTTATTCGTGTTACGTGAATTTGTGCTGTCTGAAACAAAGAACCAGTACAAAACATAGGGTTAGGTTCCAAAAGTTAACAAAAATAAACTATTCTTTTTGTAATTAAGAGAAATATATTTGTTGAAGCATTCAATAATTTATTAACAGTCAGTAATTAACTAACAATCACAATCCAGAGTATTCCATGTTAATATTAATTTTGTTTTCTTTACTGTTTAACATACAAAATATTTATGGCAAAATGTTGTCTTCTGGACTTCCTTGTTGACCTTGATCAAAACATTATGATATTTTCTACTTTTTTCATAAAATCTGATATTTTCACTTGCTTGTGTTTGCTTGAGAGGTCTTTATAAATTTAATCTTTCTATGTAGTAACTTTTCATTTGATCTATAAAAACAAACATGGTGACAGCTTTTCGACTTCTTTTAGAGCATTATCATCAAAACAGTGACACCTGGGGCTGTATTCTGGTCACTGTCTCTGGTCTCTCGTCTCTCGCAAGCCGGTCGCTGATTGGCTAATCATTTGGATTAGCCGGCTTACGAGAGACCAGAGACAGTGACCAGAATACGGCCCCTGCTTTATGTGAAAGTTAGAATAGGAAGCTATGATAAGGAAGAAAAAAACTGTATGCTCAGTTTACATTAAGCAAAACAGACAAAAGGCACAAAACAGCATTGAAAGTTTCAATATTCTAAAATCCATTGGCAAATATGAGATAATATGCATGTTTGCTTGAATAAAAAATTTGCATTTAAAAATTGTGATGTTTTGTACAGGGAATTTCCCCAATTCTTGAATAGTGTTGTAGGAATTCCATGTTGTACAAGGGATAACTGTAACTCAGAAATATATCTTAGCATTAAAATGAGTCTGCAAAGTGACAGATATAGAGTATACACTAAAGTATCACTGTTTGGACAGTGCCATAGACTTGCATCTCTGGACTAACTAAATGGTGTATTGGAATGAGTGTGTTGTGAATGGTATCTGCACAGATTGCCATCTAATATCCTGTATACTGTAATCAATTTACATCCTGCTTGTAACTTTTTATAGTGTTGCAATGTCAAAGTTTGGTTGGCTGGATGATCGAGACAGGTAAGATGTCAGCTTACTGCTCTGGAAGGACTCGGGATCAGTGGAAGACCTAGAAGAATCCAATGGGGAGCTAACTCAAAAATTAAAAATATTTGAATAATTAATAAATGCTGTTTTATTAACATACATAAGACAGTTGTGTTTCACGTGGTCTAATAAAACATATTTACCATCATAAATTTTTTAAAAACACCATTTTGAAGTTTGAACAAATAAATTTTAATTTCTTTGTCAGTGGTGAGAGCTTAGACCCTGTAGTTCCAGAATTGTTTCAAGACAGTCAAAAACCCCCAAGAACTTTTAATGGCCAGTTTGACTCACATATGTTGAGACTCATCTCTCACCACCTGGCTGTCCAGTTGTAGGTCTGTCAATCCACAATGGACTTGATAAAAGACCCTCTTAATATTTACAGGTTGGAAAAAGCCAAATGAAAAAGGGAAAAAAGGCTACACAAGCAGGTATCATAGCCACTAGTAACATTAATCCATGTTCACTTAGACAGTCCCATAAAAAATATTCTTGATTAAGTCACTGCTGTGACATCATGTGTAGACAGCCTAGACACTAGTGATATTTGAAACAATCTAGTGTATGATGCTCATCTAAACTTGAAAACATGAAGTAAGTGTGGACAGCAAAGACACTACTCTGGGACATAAATGCCAGCATTGAATGTTGCTGTGTAGACTGGATTTTAGTGTATATATTTACTAATACTAAGATATATTTGAGCCATGTATTTACCTTTGTTTTTCACTATTATCACTATTCCAAAACTCACTACCTGAACCTATTTGAGCTGATTTTGTGTGTCACTGAACCTGTTCACCATTCATGAAAGATTCCTCGGATTGCTTGTCTGGATTTGATCCCATGTTGCCAGAGTGGTACTCTAACATGTTAATTACTTCATCCACCGACACTTCTGATAGACTACTAAGATTAAGTAGTCTATCAGAACTACTTAATCTTAGTGTGCCTATGGGTAGCCCGATATCAGGAACACTCTGTGAATTAGTGGTCAGAAAACACCTGAATACCATATTACCTAAATTTCAAGAGGACATAGCATTGTATGTCAGGTATATTGATGACATTGTCATAGTATGGAACAAAGTACCTAACTTTGACTTGGTACTTAAGTATTTTAACAATAACTCCTATGGCCTGTTGACTCAATTTTTGTACAGTTTGTTTACAACAAAGCACATTGCTGCAAACGTTAGAAAATAAACTTTTGCTGCAATGCTGCCAACATTACCCTTTTGCTTGCTTGAGGATTTATTATTTTATGTTTGCTACTGAAATATGCAGTTTGATTTTTCAGTAGTGTTTTGTTATATATGTAGCATTAATTTTTGTTTTCTTCATTATAAAACATCATAAATTAGTAATGTACCCTGAAAAAATTTTGGAAAAACCAACACTGAAATTTTTTCTTTGAATGAAAAATATAAGTAATTTTAAATTTCTTCTCTATTTTATTTCATTTATATTTTATAACCATTAAATATATTTAAATTTAAAATATAAGACTACATTTTTTGTTTACAAAAATAATTATTTAGTAAAATTATTTTGCTAAAATTGATATAGATCTAAATGTATTAGATGGTGTATTTTTTATTGAATAATTTACAGTATATCCAACAAAGGTACCACATATAGAAGTGCAGAAACATTCAATTATCTTGTTTATGCCACATACTAATAGGCCATTAAACATTACATGAAATGCCCAGCTTCATTGGACAGATGCTGAAATATCTTTAAACATCTGCAGAAGTCAGTTTAGCATTTCAAGAAGTGACCAGAAAAACTAGACAGATTCTGAAATAAATGTTTTATTACAGGATGTGCTAGGCTTCAAGAGATATCTAGTCATTTCTTGAAATGGCAACATGTTTAACATGTTCAACATATGTAATAGTCACAAAAGTTTTAGAACCATTGTATTAGCATGATTAGTTGGGCTATATTTCATAATTAATAATTTAATCTTGCAAGAATTTTTATTGCCAATAGGACTTTTAGATGTAACTGTAATATTTGATCAATTTTATTTTATAGTAAAGACGATACATCCGAACGGAGATTGCAGCAATCATTGTTTAATGATGAAATTGATTTGAAATTTGGCTTTAAACGATATCAAGAATCGGCAGAAATAGTAGGATGGCTTGTCAACATGCATCCGGTATATTGTTTTAAATCTATTTATTGTTAAAATTTTAATAATTTTAAAAATATTTTATTGTTGTAACATTTATATATAACATGAAACAATAACAACTCTTTATACACTTTGAAAAAATTTAGTTTAATATGTAGCAAGTAATAATTGGGGAGCATAATAATGATGAATGTGAATGAGTATATTTCAAAAAACTGGGTAATTATTAATATACCACTCACCAAATAAACCATCACCAGTTCAGTTCATAACCAAACAGAAAAACATCATCCAAACCCGATATATAAAGCTACATACCAACAGACTGCCGAAAATCTATCGGGCTAGTTTTATGCTAATTATTAAATAAATTACGTAATCAATTTGGCACTAGAGGTAAGCGTTAGGCGCCATCTCTTATTAATATTAATAATTATAAATAAATTAATTAATTTAAATAATTTAGAACCGCTGGGAGAAAAAATCGGCTCGGAGCGGGACTCGAACCCACAACTCCTGCTT